CTCCCACCACTCATGTGGCAGCTCACAACTGTCGGTAACTCCTGCTCCAGGGGATCTGACACCCTCACACAGACATACATGCAGGCAAAACCCCAATGTGTATAAAATACAAATAAGTAATTAAAAAAAAAAAGGGCACATGGGGAACCTTTGGAGACCTAAAAATCAGGGGACCCTGTCAGAGCTAAGGCACAGAGTGAAGACCTCCCATGTACATTCTTCCACACCACAGCTCCCAGAACCCCTTGCTGGAAGGCTGCCCTCTTGGCTGAGTATTTTCAGGGGTGGCTCAAGCCTAAGCATGCTGTGAGCTAGTCAGTCACAGGGCCCCTGGGGAACAGGATAGGCCTGTCAGAGAAACTTCTAGATAAGATATTGATCTTATCATGTGTAGGCAGGAGGTTGATAGTTGCAGATGGTCAAGGGACAAGTCTGGCCACCTCTTCACAGAATTTCACCTCTCCCATCACCTTTGAGGTTTAGCTGAAACTCTGGGACATCAGAAGAGTGACACTCTGTACCTTGCTTGATTAGTGAGTTATGAGCTGGCCTCAAGGTTTGCCAAATTGCCTTGGGCTCACAAACTGGAGAGTGGTAGATTAGGAGGAGGCAAAGGACCATCTACCTGGAGCTACACAGGACCAACTTCTAAACATACTACATAGCCAAAAATGTCCTTAAACTTCTGATCCTCCACTTACCAAGTGAAAGAATGACAAGCATATGCCACCATAGGCAGCTCTGTGAATGCTAAGCAAACGCTTCTGACTGAGCCTTTCCTGCCTTCCTGGGTATCTTCTCTGTCTTCCCAGCCTGTTTCTTTTTGTACTCTCCCTCCCCCGCCCCTTCCTACCAAGTTTTCAGATGGAATAGAATCTCAAAACCATAGCCCCCAAGATACCACCAAATTTCTCACAGCTGCACGGGGACTGTGATTCTGTTCTAACTCACTGAAACCCCAAATATAAATGACTTTAAAAATAGCTCTGATAAGAGCAAACAAAATGTTCCTCTCTTTAATCTTGTAGGTTTCTCTGACATCAAGGAAAATCATTTTTCTGGAGTTCTCCTTTTGGGGCCTTTCACTTCTGCGTCTTCGTTTCTGGTGCAAGTAGGTCACTCTGTCCACGTAGGGATCATCCAGGCTCACGGGAATGGGCCATTTGGCCAGTAACTTATTCTGGCTTTCCAAGTAAAGGACTCTGTAGTCTGCCAAGTGTTTTCAGTTACAGGGCTGCCCTCCAAGCCCCCAAAAAACACACATCAAAGAGACTTCATTGAAAGTTCCTATCAAGCCATATCACCAGCACAACCTACATCCACTTTTTTTTGTCTGTGTGCACCCCATGCATGCAGTGCTCATGGATACCAGAAGAGGGCACTAGACCCCTAGAACTGATTACAAATAGTGAGCTGCCATGCCGGCGCTGGAAATTGAACCTTGGTCCTCTAGAAAGGCAGCCAGTGCTCTTAACCACTAAGCCATATCTCTAGGGGCCCAAGTGTCTTGTTTTCTAACATATTTATTCCTTGACAATTTTATATATGTATATCTCTGATCACAGTCAGCCACCAATTAACGTCTCTTATCCACTTTTAGGAGCTACTCAGAGAAGAGCCTAGCTATGTGTATTTATGTGGCCTAGGTATTTGTATGATATTTAAAAAAAAAAAAAAAAAAAAAACCTCATGAGTCATTATTTCAGGAGCTAAGGGATGAGAGAGAAAAAACCACCTGCAACATAATGGTGTCCTACTACAAGTCAGTTTTATAGCATGTCCTTTTAGCAATTCCAGGGTTCTTCCCTCGGGCTTATCGGCCTCAGGTTCAATCAGAAAGCAGTTGTCTTCCACACCACCACCACCCATAACAGTGGTGCCACTATTACACCAGGAGTGTGCAGAGTCCACAGGGGGTAAGGCTGTGTGTTCTCTGCAGACCTGCACCACGCTTCTCACCACCGTGAAAGCTCGCCGGCAGGGAGGAAGCTCCTGACTCAGGTCCGGCCTGAGTCTCTGTGTCCTGCCACCAGGGTACAGGCTATGCTCGGCAATAGGGTCTTGCCGTCTGGTTTTGGTGGGAAAACAACAATAATACCAACAGCCTGTATTGTTGGGATGGGGCAGGGGTTCTCTGGGACTCCACAGCCATCAGCTCACAGGCACTGGCCTGCTCCTGGCACTGAGGTTTTCATTTAATAGCCTGTCTTCTGTGAGCATCCACTCCACCATTAATTCTCAGTATTTCCCCAGCGGCAAGGTTTCAGTGTTTAGCTTCTAATTCTGTGTTTAGCATCTTGAGATACTGAGACGTTTCTCTCAGCAGAGGATCCATTTCACACCCCCACTTCCTCATACTTTCCTTGAACTAAACTATTGCCTTTCCTCTTCTTTTTCTCTTTTCTTTTAATGCAATGCCCCGGATCAAACTCAGGGCTCATTCATGTTAATCAAGGTTTCTACCTGCTGAGCTACAGGCCCAGCCCTGAGACAGGGTTTT